GAAATTGTGTGGCATTGTTTATATATTTGTTTTGATTCCATCTTGTTCATCTACTGTAAAGACCTGATGTCATTAACACAAGAAACAACTTCCTATGCATTGTAGGATGTCAGATGTTCTCTCCTCAACAGATACATGCTTTTCTGGTCACCATCACCCTGGGAACTCTGGGTGCTGCTGTAATAAATACTAATGCTTAGAGCCACTTGAGTGGAAACACTCTGTAGATGATTATAAGAATAAAAAGGGGGGGAGGGAAATAAAAGTGGCAGATTGGGGAGAAAATACTGAATACAAGCAGCTTTTGTTTATGAGGAAACTTGTGACCTGCTATTATTTTGGCAGTATGAGAGGATCTTTCACTTACTAGAGAACTGCTGGCATCTGCAGATCTGCACTAAAAACACTTTGCTGATATAGCTGTAACTGCTGGAAACACACACTGAGTCCACAGTGGCAAACTTTGCTTTAGTGTCAAAGCTGTACTGTATGCGATCTTCTGGTGTTACAGAGCCTGGGTAGCAAATAAGGGTAAAAATATATCTTCCCTCCGATATAAGTCAGCTGCAGCTGACTTACGCTAGAAGCTTTTGCTAGCAGATATAGCACCTCTTTGTTCCTCAACATATGCATATATATGTGTGTGTGTGTGTGTGCACTCTGAAAGGAAAAGAGGATCGTATGGCGGTGCTCTGGCCTACAATACCACTGCTGCCTTGTTGCCATGACTTTGGTAATAATACCTAGAGAGAACATCATGTAACTTTTTTTTTTTTTTTTTTTAATTTGAAAGGTGACAAGTAATCAACAACTTGGCCAATAGAGTTAGTAATCTCTCATGCTTCTCTTTATACAAACAGAGATTTCCTGACAGTACTGTGGGAGAATGTGTGTGTTTGGGGCAGGGGGATGTGAATTATTTTCCTTCCAAAAAAGTAATTAAAAATTCAGAAGGCTTCACATAAACACTGGGTGTTTGGTATGTCCTAGTGAGGCTTTGTACCACTCTCCACCAGGTTACGCAGAGCTTGCTTCTCACTGCTCAAAGTGCTGAAGAGCAGCTGTTCGGAGTCTGCCATCTGCTGCACTACTCTGCTTTCTCAAAGCTGCTGTAAGCTGTGGGCATAGAGCACGACAGGAAGTGTGTCATCTGTTTTCAAGCCTTTGAAAAAAGTGTAGTCGTAGTTGAGGCCCTGGACAAGATGTGGTGGCCTGACCTTTGATGCTCTGGATGCTTCCCCCTTGCCCACAAAGCTGTTTACTAGAGATTTCTGAATATAGCCTCTTAAATTTGAGTGGAAGAAGAGGTGGGGGCATCTTTGAAGTGGTGACTTGTTTGCAACACTCACTGCAAGCGTACTGGGGATTTAGTGACCCAAATAAAACTAAATAAGAAGTGATCTTACTAGGGTTTCTGCTTCCTGAAGGAACTTGTGTATATTCTGTCTTTTATTTCTGAAGGCTGATACGTAAGGGGTCAGTAGCAGTCTTATGATTGATCTGACATATACGAATACACTGTGGCTGTGATGGCATGACAGCTGGTCTTTTAAAGTGAAATAAAATAGAGAACTAAATGGTATTGCAGAAGAGAAACAAGGTGAACAAGAAGAGAAGTAAGTTCTGTTCTGCAACTCATGCCAAAGCTAAAGTATGCAAAAAATCATAATCGCTTTCTACTTCCGTGTGTAACTTTATTTTGGCCCACAGGTATGTAGATCAGCAGAAGCTTTGCATAGCTCCTTTTAACAATACCGTATGTGTCCAGTAGTCCAGAATCTTTCAAGGAGGATGGCGTATAAATTTAAGTGTGTTCTTTATTAGCATAAGTATTGCTTTACTCTTTAACTTACCACTTTTATCTATACTCAAGTTCATAAAATGAGGCTTGTATTTTACCATGAAGCGACTGGAGGATATGAACTCCATGCTCCAGCCACTGGCGATCTGACTTTAGCTGGTGGTGAAGCTACAATGCCTCATCTGCACTGTTACAACACGCATTAATTATTTTTAAATATTTTTTTATTGTGGTCAAAACACACCCTTTTTGTTAGCAAAGAAATAGCCTGTAGCAAAGAAATTCTAAGTCTGTTTACTACTAGCCTGTGTAGGCTGAGGCTAGGTAATTAGTGTTGCATGTGTCATAGAAATGGGGCTGACACGTTTCTTCTAAGACTCTCTTAAGAGAAGGTAACATCCTTTCCACGTAACACACCCCACCAGCTTCCCTCTTCTTCCCAACACAGTTGTTTTCCCACTTAGAAAACAGCTACATTATTTCTTCTGATTCATGAAGATTAAATTATGCTTGGTTCAGCCTGTCAGCAAGGTGTCTTGGGCTTCTTCGAAAGGAAGATTTTAACAATAAGTGACATTCTTCTTTGCTTATGGGAAAGGTTTGAAGTCTGTTCTGGTAACTGCAGTGGGCTTCAGCTTTTACACTGGTTGCCATAGGTACTGTGTCTGCTTCCAGATACTCTCTAGCCAAGTGAGACCTTGTAGCTCTCAACTAAAGAAGCAGTTCTTACTCTTCTTTAATTACATATTTTGTTAACTCTTGAAGTCTCTGGTTTAGAGTATAAAATTAGAACCAGTAAACATCTAAACAGAATGGAAGATACCATTGCCTTGGAGCTCCATTTACCTGAGCTTGTGTAAAAACTAGGCTTACCAATATAGTAGTACTAGTATTAAGAGTTTATAAAGTAATCAACGAATATGTTCTGTTCAGAACTGAGGTTAAACTAAATAGGTAGGGTCATTTTTTTAGGCTTTTATCTTTTGTCAACTTGTCAGAATCAACTGCTCAATGTTGTTGTTGCTGGCTGTATAACAAATAAAATCCTGATAAGCAACCATTTTCTTTGTATAGATTTGCAAAACTGTGGAGGGGGAGGAAATGCTTGGGAAGCAAAGCTGAATGAAGCATATCAGTACTGAGGAATCTCTGAATTTCCTTTTTAGGAACTGGGTGGCAACTGGAAAAAGTTGAAGGATGTGACATAACTTGTAAACCTTTTCTTTGTTGCAGGCATCCTGTAAGCAGAGGTTTATACAGGACTTGTGAATTATAACATTTAGTATATTGCCTTTTGTTTAAGCTTCTTTTTATGGATCCAGTTCAGCAAGTCAGGGCTCTGGAAAGCAGAAGTCTACGAAGTTTAAAATCAAAGCATTAAGCTCTCTTCTGATGCCAAGCTGGAAACCCTGGCTAGATTTGAATTTTTTCCTCCAGCATAGCAGAGAAATTCCGAAGATGACTGAAGCTGTGGCTCTCAGTGTGCATTTAAATGCATAGCTGTTTCACTTAATATTTTTTGTCTCTGTTCTTGGAGCTGAAACCTACTTTAACTAAAGCTTCTGACTCTCAGCAGCATTAGCTGCTGAAACAATCTGACATTGTTTGCGTAGCTTGTATTTTAATATTCCTTTCTTTTCCACCTATACAAACAAAAACAGGAAGCAGGATTTGGGGGGGGGGTGTTGCCATATCCGTTTCGGATGTGTTTCTTGCTTGACCTTTTACAAGGTTGTCTGTTAGTGTCAGAGTGATTATAAGCAGGCATTGTTACTTTTAACTTGGGTAGGAAAGGAACTGACTCTTAAACATATTAGCCTGGAAAAAAAAAAAGCCAATTTCTGCCTTTCCTTGATGTGATATGACTGCAGCTAGCACTGAAAGGACTGCAAACATGTTGCCATCTATTTGAAGTACCAAAATGACTCATTAAAGTAGGCCATCACTGCTACAGAATGCGTAGCATAAAACACGCTTCTGTTAGCAGCCTGCTGACTAACACAATGCTTTCTGTTTGCTGCCACAGGAGGTACTCGTACATGGCTGTGAGGATATGACAAGGCCTCTCTTTCAGAAACACAATGGCAAATGCATTTCAGCTTGTTGTCACTGGGATCTAAAACCTCACGGTCTTCCCCTCCCCGCTCTTCTGTACGCACAAAACCAGTCATCTCTGTTGAACCTCTGCAGAGACCAGTTGCTTCCACCATTTCTTACTCTGTAGCCAACCAGTTTTATGTAGGACTTCCTAAATGTTTCCTGGCAAAACAAAGTCTTGTCCTTGACTTGCTGCAGGTGCCTTAATGTGTTATTTGCTTTGGTTGTATACTTTGATACTTTGTGGGTATCAACACTCCATGAACAATGGATAAAATGCTTTTTATGCGTGTCCATGCTTATTCTTCATTGTGCTCTTTGAAAATGTCTGGAATGTTGGTGCCTGCCATGGGAATATAGTGAATATAAAAGAGTTATTTTCTACTAGCCCCATTTTAAAGTTAGATGGGGCTTATTTGTTTACAGATTCAAAAGCAGTATAGCAAGTATGTGCTTCCTATAAAGCATGTAGCTTGCATAAAGCATTGAGTAAAAAGGAGAGGGTGTGTAGATCATGTAGCGTTATTATCTTCTAGATGCTTACCTAAAAGCTTCAGCTAAATCACAAGTCTTGGAGTCTTTTCTTAGCCTAGTCTCCAGTGCCAGCTTTTTGCACCTTCTTCCTGGGTGATTTCTTTGGGGAACTTCCAGTCAGGAGAAACTGAGTGTTAAAGGGCTGTAGGTTAGTACTGAGCATGACTTTTATTGTCGAGGGAGGGGAACTGCTGTCTTAAATAACCTTCTTGGAGACTTGCGTGTACCACAATGCAGAGATCCTGATGTCTGCGGTAAGACAGTTGACTGCAAGCAAGAAATGTTGTGTAGTGAATAGAAACAAAATGTTTGCATTCAGAGGCTAGAATTGAAGGTAGCAGTTCCCATCTGAGAGCTCAAGAGAAGGAGGTACCATCTGCGACTGGAGTGTGAGGCAACAGTTTGAAAACATGATTCATACGCTTCTTCCTCTTTGCATTCTTGAGAGAGCAGTTGTCTAACTGAAGATCTGACTAAAGATTTGTATGAATAAATACCGAACATATGGTTTCTTCTACTAGTTTACTAATGAAGTTGAAATTATTTTGTGTAATACTTTCTAATTCTGATGTCACCAGCCATAAACAGTGAGGTTGTAGCTCAATTTAAACTAATGCAGTCTATTTTGCTTTCCCTTCCTTTTCTTACCAGCAGAGGTGTTTCACCACTTCTTGCAGCATCGTTGATCCATGCTGCAGTTGATGAAGTCCTCCAAACAGACTTGACTGAATTTAAGCAGCAAAGTGTGGAAACAGAAGAAGGAGATGAGGAAAGGTTCACCTGTAAGTATACTTTTTTCCTTCTGTGGTTTTCCCAGAGGCTCTCTGTTGGAAGACTTCAGTGTTTTGAAACGTTTCCCGGAATATTGGGTTAGGCTGTCTGGCAAGCAGCAGTGAACAGAACTTTATTTGCTCGTGCTGGGTGTCTGTGGGATGAAAGGTAGCTATGCTAGTTTTGTGGGCAAGATGCAAACGTGGTGTCTGGAGCCCCAGACTGATTGTGTGGGTTGGCTTTCTGGAAAGGGAAGAGAATGTCTCCTCCCAAAAATGGTTAATGACTGTGTCCACTGTGCTTCCTGAACTGAACTAGTTAAGAACTTTTCCTCATTGGAGAGCTTCATTTAAATTGAACTGGTTCAGCTCATATCTTAAGTTGATAACCTATTGTATTTTTGAAGTGCCCTTTTCTCTTTGGTAGCCTGACCTTAGCTAATTACTCCTATATTTTGACATTGGCATCATCACAATTTCTGTTGTGCAGCCACGCTGACACCTTAAATTCATCCATATAATCTATCTTGCTTTTGTCTGTTCTTGGGACCAGATTTTGGGCCCTCTACAACCTGAACATCTTGAAACTCGAGATCTTTCTCTTGGCAAGTTTCTCAATAATCTCTCTCTTTATCGATTACTTCTTCTCTGTCCATCCTCCCCATAAAGATGGGATGCTGAGGGATGAAGAACCTGATGCATGTGTCTTCTGCCTGACGCCTGCATTTTCCCCTATCTGAGTGAATCAGGGAGAGAACAGACCTTGGTGACTGTGTACTGGGTTTGTGCCTCGTGTAACAGATGGTCCTATTGCATTCACATGCTGAAGTGTTTTAACATTAGGCTTCACCAAACCTTCAATCCCAATGCCAAGAATTGAAATGGAGCAGGATGCAGGCAGAGCCGAAGATAGAAATAGAGAAGAGAGATGTCTTAGGCAAACTAGTCTATCCTGTAAGGGGAAATAATCGCCCTTCCATTTCCCTGGGATGACTTAAAAGGCTGTTCAGCGTGCCCCAGAGGATGCATCTCCAAGCAGAGCTCTGGTAATGGCCAGGGTACAGCACTTTTCCTGAAGCCTATTTCAGTATTCACCTACAAGTCTGAAACGGCAGGAGGGGGAAAACGTTTAATTAAGTCTTGCTGCACCCTGAGTATTTCATCCCTTGCCTTAATGTTTGTAGCCTTCATATGTCTGGAGAGATTTAGCAAGTTTCCAGCACTTTGCATGGGAAGAGTTGGCTTCGTATCAGCTTGGCTGGGGCCTAAACAAGATGCCCTGGCTCTCCTCCTCCGGCGCCGGGAGAAATGATTCGGTGGTCGGCACTCAGGGGGGAATGCGAGCAGCGGCATGCGGGACATCAGCAGGCCTGCCC